CCCATGTAGCTGGGACCACAGGCGCCCGCCATAACGCCCTGGCTATTTTTTGGTTGCAGCTGTCACTGTTGTTTTTGGTGGGCCCGGGGCTGGATTTAAACCCACGACCTTAGGTGTATGTGGCTGGCACCTTAGCCACTTAAGCCACAGGCGCCGAGCCAGGATAACTCTTTAAAATTTTCATTTTTGCCTTCACAATTTATATTTTTGCTATGTATGTGAAAATTTTTTTTTTTTTTTTTTGTAGAGACAGAGTCTCACTTTGTTGCCCTTGGTAGAGTGCCGAGGTGTCAAACAGCTCACAGCAACCTCAAACTCTTAGGCTTAAGTGATTCTCTTGCCTCAGCCTCCCGAGTAGCTGGGACTACAGGCACCCACCACAGTCCCCGGCTATTTTTTTGTTGTTGTTGCAGTTCTGTTGTGGCTGGGTTTGAATTCACAGCCCTTAGGATATGGGGCCAGCGCCCTACTCACTGAGCCACAGGTGCTGCCCAATATGTGAAAATTTTTTAGGCATTTCTGAACCATATAATGCACTGCAAAACATAAAGCATTGGTGGCATAGGTTCCATCATGAGTAGAAAAAAGTTTTGCCCTTGGTAATGGTGTTACAGCTCACAGCAACCTCAAACTCTTGGGCTCCTGCAATTCTCTTATCTCAGCCTCCCAAGGAGCTGGGACTATAGGCAACCACCATGATGCCTGGCTATTTTTAGCAATGAGGTCTCACCTTAGGTTAGGCTGGTCTACAAACTCCTGAGCTCAGGCAGTCCACCCACCTTGGCCTCTCAGAGTGCTAGGATTACTGGCATGAGCCCAGTTGATTGGCTCTGCACCTGGCTTGATTTTGCTTTATTCAAATTAACAATAGTAGGGCTCAGCACCTGTGGCTTGGGTGGCTGGGGCGCCAGCCACATACACCTATGGTGGCAGGTTCAAATCCAGCCCGGGCCCTCCAAAACAACAGTGACGGCTGCAACCAAAAAAAAAAAAAAAAAATGGCCAGGTGTCGTGGTGGGCGCCTGTGGTCCTGGCTACTTGGGAGGCTGAGGCAGGAGACTGGCTTGAGCCCAGGAGTTGGAGGTTGCTGTGAGCTGTGGTGCCACAGCACTCTACCCACGGGGACAGCTTGAGACTCTGTCTCAAAAAAAACAAAAAAATTAACAATACTGAAAGCATAGAGTTTCCTCTTGTGTAAATTTAAAAAAAAGCTTTACCTGTGAATGGTTTGTGAATTCATTTGAAAGAAATCACATGTGGACTTCTGTGACTGGCTTCTTCCACTTAGCATAATAATTTTAAGGTTCTTGTAGCATGTATCAGTGCTTCATTCCTTTTTACGGCCAAATGCTATCTACTCTTTGGTTACATACCACATTTTCTTTTGCTTTTTTGAGATAAGAGTCTCACTTTGTCATCGTTAGTAGAGTGCTGTGGCATCCCAGCTCACAGGAATCTCAAACTACTGGGCTTAAGGTCTTCTATTGCCTCAACTTCCCATGTTGCTGGGACTACAGATGCCCGCCACAGTGCCCAGCTGTTTTTCAATTATAGTTGTCGTTGTTTGGCAGGCCCAGGCTGGGTTTGAACCTGCCAGCTCCAGTGTATGTGGCTGGTGACCTAGCTGCTACAGGCACCACACTTACATACCGCATTTTGTTTATTCACATGTCAGATAATGGACTTTTGGGCTGTTTCCACTATTTGGCTTTTTAGCTATTATGAATAAACTATTCATAAACAATTGAAAGTAAGTTTTTGTGTGGAAGTACATTTTCATTACTCTTTGGTAGACACCTATTAAAATTACTGGGCCATATAGCAACTGTGATTCATCCTCAAGTAGAACTGCCAGACAGACTTATTTCCAAAGCAGGTACAAAAATCTTTTGGTTGGTGGGGAGGAAGGAATGTTTAGATTTCATCAGGATAATGTTTTTTATGTTTTAGTGATTGCTTTCTAAAGATTTCCATTAAATGAATCCTGAAATTATCATTTGTTGGCCATGAGTTTCTTGGGGTGGAAGATGGACATACATGGTATGTTGGCCAGTTTTCTCTGATACAGTTTTTGTGTCTTCAGCAAAAATGTTCCCTTTAAAATTGTCCGTGCCTCCAATGGTGATGCCTGGGTTGAGGCTCATGGAAAACTCTATTCTCCGAGTCAGATTGGAGCATTTGTGTTGATGAAGATGAAAGAGACTGCAGGTGAGTGGATTTATTAACAGTTCACATCTGGGAAAGTTCAAAGAAGTGGATGTTCCCTCTGAGATCACTAGCTCCATACATCAGTGTCAAATAGATGAGTCAGTGGTGCCTTTTGTACAGAAAACTTAGGAATGGCAAACTTTTTTTTTTTTTTTTTTTGAGACAGAGTCTCACTATGTCACTCCTCCATAAACTGCTGTGATGTCACAGCATACAGCAACCTCAAACTTTTGGGCTTAAGTCATTCTCTTGCCTCAGCCTCCCAAGTAGCTGGGACTACACGTGCCTACCACAATGCCCGACTGCTTTTTTGTTGTAATTGTCATCGTTGTTTAGCTCACCTGGGTCAGGTTCTGACCCCCCAGTCCTGGTGTATGTGTCCCGTGCCCTAACCACTGAGAACGGGCACAAAACTGACAAACTTTTCTTGTTCTTCCATACTTTTCCTGCAGATCAAGGTAGTTTTACTAATGGTGGCTGACTTATCTCTTTTCCATTAAGAGGTAGAGATAATCTTCTGTATTGAAAACCAGAAGATTATACATTAAGGTTTCATCCTGTTAGGTGAAACTTAGAACTTCCTATTTGAAGAAATGAGTGGCTATTTCAAGTTTTTTTGTTGTTGTGCTAGAGACAGAGTCTCACTTTATCACCCTTGGTAGAGTGCTGTGACATCACAGTTCACAGCAACCTCCAACTCCTGGGCTTAGGCAATTAATCTTGCCTCAGCCTCCTAAGTAGCTGGGACTACAGATGCCTGCCACAACACCCACCTATTTTTTTGTTGTAGTTTGGCCAGGACGGGGTTTGAACTCACCACCCTCGGTATATGGGGCTGGTACCCTACCCACTGAGCCACAGGCTATTTTAAGTTTACAGGTCATTGTAGCTTGGTGAACCTTCACTAGAATGTTAAATGTGAGATCTGGGTATTAAACCAATATCTTTAATTGGAGCATTTTGCTGCAGGTAACTTGCTGAAAAACTGATGAATGTTGTCTGTGCCTCTTCTAAAAGAGGATAACATGGGTGGTTAGGTTAGGCCTGTTTTTTCTGACAGAATCCCATGGTTGAATTTCATTTTTTCATTCTTTTCCAGAAAATTACTTGGGGCACACAGCAAAAAATGCTGTGATTACAGTCCCAGCTTACTTCAATGACTCACAGAGACAGGTGAGGTCAGTTAGCATTCTTACTCATTAAAAGTAGTGGTACCTTGGCAGAAAGGTGGAAAAAAGCATTTTTTTCTTTTCTCTAGGCCACAAAGGATGCTGGCCAGATATCTGGACTAAATGTGCTTCGAGTGATTAATGAACCGACAGCTGCTGCTCTGGCCTATGGGCTAGACAAATCAGAAGACAAAATGTAAGTTTGGGCAGTAAATTTCACCTGGATGAGTGAAACTAAAATCCTAGAACCATGAAGCTTATCCTAAATGATCATCTTGATTTCTTTGTGGTTGAGCCTTGTACTTAGTATAAAAATATACTACCTTTACCTATTTCAAGGCCTGTATAGTCTTATTTTTTTATTCATTTCAAGACCATTCCTTTGTTGATTAACTTTTGGCCCATGGTAATTAAATTTTTTTTTTTTAGACAGAGTCTCAAATTGTCATCTTTAGTAGAGTGCTGTGGTCTTATAGCTCACAGCAATCTCCAACTCTTTGGCTTAATCAATCCTCTTGCCTCTGTTTTTCTATTCTTAGTAGAGATAAGTTCTCGATTTTTGCCCAGGCTGGTCTTGAACATGTGAGCTCAAGCCATCTGTCCACTTTGGCCTCCCAGGGTACCAGGATTACAGGCATGAGCCACTGTGCCTGGCCAGGCCATGGTAATTTTTGTTTGCCTTCATATGTATTTGGCAAGTATTCATACAAAATTGTGGTTAAATACTGTCTTTTAAAATTGAGTTTTGTGGTGTCATTTACCTCTATATAGTCCCAGCTACTCGGGAGGCTAAGGCAGGACGATTGCTTGAGCCCAGGAGATTACGGTTGCAGTGAGCTATGGTGATGTCACTGCATTCTAGCGAGGGCAACAGAGCAAGACCCTGTGTCAAAACAAAAAGTTTCATTCATGTCTATGTGTGCATTGTACATGTTACCTGTTAGGGCAGTGGTTCTCAACCAGGGCATTGGCTCTCAACCTGTCGGTCGCGATGGGGGTCGAACGACCCTTTCATAGGGGTCGCCTAAATACTTCCTGCCCATCAGATATTTACATTACGATTCATAACAGTAGCAAAATTATAGTTACGAAGTAGCAACAAAAATAATTTTATGGTTGGGGTCACCACAACATGAAGAACTATATTAAAGGGTTGTGGCATTAGGAAGGTTGAGAATTACTGTGTTAAGGTCACATGTCAGACTTGTCACTTAGGCAGTTATCAGATTTTGTACTAATTATATACCTCAGGAAAATAGCTAAATTTATCTTCATTTGGTTATTAAAGTTTATACCCTTGTGATAAGGTTTGTTCCTTACGGTTTTCTTGCTTTCTAGCATTGCTGTATATGATTTAGGTGGTGGAACTTTTGATATTTCTATCCTGGAAATTCAGAAAGGAGTATTTGAGGTCAAATCCACGAATGGAGATACTTTCTTAGGTGGTGAAGACTTTGACCAGGCCTTGCTACGACATATAGTGAAAGAGTTCAAGAGAGAGGTTAGTTACCATTGTGGTTAAAATGGAGATGTTGGAATATTGTTCCTTTTTTCAGGTTGCTCTTTGTTTACAGTTATTGTGCCCTTAAGCACTGAAGTAACCGCACTTAAGGTTCATGAGTGGAGTTAACTATTTTGTTTTTTGTAGATTCAAATTAGGAACAAAAGAAATGAAAGCATTTGGTATGCACTATACAATAGTAAGAGGAATTTTGGGGATTCCCTTTTTGAACTGGAAACCTAGGGCTTGAAAGAACAGACCATCAGTTCAGCTTACTTATTTTAGGCATAGATAATCTTTTCAGAAGAAGCTATTTCTTCCCCTACAGATTTTTAAGGGTAAGAAAAAGTAATTCATGGTTGCTTAGAGAGGTATGACTGCATTTTGTATTCCACCTTATCAGTGCAATTAATGTATTCATCACCCCACTAATACCCACATCTTCACTTTGTAGACAGGGGTTGATTTGACTAAAGACAACATGGCACTTCAGAGGGTGCGGGAAGCTGCTGAGAAAGCTAAATGTGAACTCTCCTCATCTGTGCAGGTGAGATACGGAAAAATCCTAGTAATGTTGATATCTTCAGCCTGAGTACTGTAATATATTCTAATTGGCCTAATGTCAGTTTAGTTGTGTTACAGTTTTCTGGTTGGTAGAAACCTTTAGTGTGAGCACAGGAATAGTACAACCTTTAGTTTTTTATGAATGAGCTGGGAATTTTTAACTGCTCAAACCAGAAATTACGTAGACTGAAGTTAAATAGTGAAGGCTGGCACCGTGGCTCACGCCTGTAATCCCAACACTCTGGGAGGCCAAGGTGGGCGGATAGCCCAAGATCATGAGTTCAACACTGCCTGAGCTAGAGCAGGACCCCATCTGTTAAAATAGCCGGGTGTTGTGGCAGGTGCCTTATAGACCCAGCTACTCATGAGGCTGAAGCAAGAGAATTGCTTGAGCCCAAGAGTTGGACGTTGCTGTGAGCTGTGATACCATGGCACTCTACCAAGGGCTACAAAATTAGATTCTGTCTCAAAAAAAAAAAAAAAAGAAGTTAAATAATGATACTAAGATCTGAGTAACAGTGGACATAACGTTTGTCTCTAAGTTAAAGATGTTTATTTTTAAATCTAGCAGCATGTTAAACTAGAATTTCTGACCTGGAAAAGCTACTGTCTTAACTGAATACACTTCTTGTGAATTATGTAGATCTGCCAGTTGTCATTTAATAATTTGGATCACCAATCTAGAAAATGAGCTGTGAAAGCTAGCTCCAGTCTGAGATAAATACAACTCTGCAAATTTCTCTACGTGAGCACCAGACTTGCTCCACTTCAGCTTGTTTGGCTCCAGTTCTGAGAGGTGAAGCTTCACTAACCACAAGTAGCACTGTACAAACTATGTTATATCCTGATTGGAGACCTACTCTGATGGAAGGCAGCAGATCTATTACCAGTTTTTTGAGTGACAGCAGGAAGAGCAGAGCTGTGACTAGTTGTATGATCATCTGCAGGGAAGAGAGATTTATTGCAGTTGTTTTGGTGTTCGCCAAGTGGTTGCTGCTATTTAACCTTCAGTCAAACTTGGATAGCCATGAGGACTAACCAGTTGTATACTGATCCATGGTATTGGTATTGATACTGTGACTGTGTCCTTGCTGTCACATGAAGTGGCAGAACTCTGCAACATGGTCATTAGGGTTGGGGTTGAAATTTGAGGAACTGCCAGAAGATAGTTTGTAATTCTTATCAGGTATTTGATACCTGTTGTGGGTAAGAGATTGGTTGGTTTGGTTTTTAATTACTGTGGCTGCATCCTGGTGATAGGCATTTGGATTGTTTTCTGCCTTTTAGCTATTGCAGCAAGATGTATTGAGGACCCTTGTAATTTCAGGTTTACACAAGAGATTATAAACCCTACACGATGAATTCTTAGAATATAACTCCTCATGGACTTTATAATGTGGTTTGGACATTAATTAGAGCATTATATTAACTTCAGACCAGAAGTGATGCAGAGTAGCAGTTAAGAATGGTTCTGCTGAGAGTATATTAAGGTTCAAGTCTTCATTTCATCATTACTACCTGTGATCTTGGTTGAATCACTTTACATTGTTTTTCTTAACTACAAACTAAAGATAATAGTGGTACCTTCCCCTCTAGGGTTGCGAGGATTACCAAATTAATAAATATAATGTGTTTTGGAAAACTTGTAGTATGTAGTACTTTAAATGTGCTATTATTAATTAAAGGTATAGTTACATTTATAATTATACGAAGGAACCCGGGAGAGGTGTTCAGCTTGACAAGGATAGGTTCTGAGAGAGGAGTTGACCAGGAAGAAAAAGGAGGGCAGTAGGTACAAAGCTCTGTAGTGATGACTTGGAAAATGGCCAGAAGTGGGTAAAAGGGCAGAGTGCAGATTGGGGGGGCCAGGATTGGCAAGCATGACCACACTAGAGGCTTAATTGGTGTCTGTCCTGAGATAAGTGAGTACAAATCCCAGAAGAGTTTTAAGGTGGGGGTAATAACATGGTCAAGTTTTGAATTGTGGAAAGTTCTTTTGCTTGGGCTGAAGTGAAGAAATACTTGGTAAGAGGTCCTACAGCAGAAGGCACCTGAATGGATGTGGGAAGACATGGTAAGGTTCTTGAAATCACATGGTGAGAGAGAACTTGGGCTAAAGCAGGGGTCCTCAAACTTTTAAACGGGGCCAGTTCACTGTCCCTCAGACCGTTGGAGGGCCAGACTGCGGACCCTGGGACAAGTGGGCTGCTAAGCAGGACAGGCTGCAGCAGCAAAAACACTCGGAGGGCCAGATCAATGTTCTAGGTGGGCTGCAGTTTGAGGACACCTGGGCTAGAGTATGAGAATGAGAGATAAGTGGTTGAATTTGAGAGAGCAGGACAAAATGTTGTGATTTTGGCTGCAGAGGGTTGAGAATTGGTAGTATTGGAGTTGTTCATATTACCATTAACTTTGAGTGTTTGGAGCTGTACTACTATAGTAGCCACATGTGAGTAGTTGAATTAATTAAAATTAAGTAAAATCTTGTAAAGTTTCTCAGGCTAGTCAACTTTCAAGTGCTCAGTAGCTATATGTGGCTAGTGGTTGCTGAATGGAATAGCATAGATGAAGAACGTTTCCTTGTTAGAAAGCACCACTGGATGGATTTAAATAATTTTTTTTTCTTTTCTTTTCTTTTCTTTTTTTTTTTTTTTTGAGACACTGTCTCAAGCCTGTCACTTTGGGTAGAGTGTCATAGCTCATGGCAACCTCCAACTCTTGGACTCAAACCCCTTGCCTCAGTTTTTAGTAGAGATGGGATATTGTTTTTGCTCAGTCTGGTCTCAAGCTCATGAGCTCAAGCATTCCACCTGTCTCTGCCTCCCAGAGTGCTAGGATTACAGGCGTGAGCCACCATGCCCAACCTAAATACAAGATTTTACATGATGTGATGCCCATACAAGCCATTTCTTCTACTTCTTTTTAATAACATTTCTGAAGCTTTCTTACCACTTACAAACTTCCTAGAATTTAGAAGACCCAGCATTGAGGACAGGTTATTTGATTGAAAGCCTGTCTTTATTTTTTCTGCATGTACATGAGATATTTTTAAAAGTTAGTAAAAGAAAACTTTACCAGCTCAGCGCCTGTGGCTCAAGTAGCTGAGGCACCAGCCACATACACGGTGGCAGGTTTGAATCCAGCCCGGGCCCGCCAAAACAACAGTGACAGCTGCAACCAAAAAATAGCCGGGCATTGTGGTGGGCACCTGTGGTCCCAGCTACTTGGGAGGCTGAGGCAGGAGATTGGCTTGAGCCCAGGAGTTGGAGGTTGTTATGAGCTGTGATGCCACAGCACTCTACCCAAGGGGACAGCTTGAGGCTCTGTCTCAAAAAAAAAAAAAGAAAACTTTACCAGCATGAGTCTTTTTGTTGCTGTACTGTTAGTACCTTGAAGTCTTTATTAGTTGATGTATTTTCTTTGAAATAAACACTATTCTTAAGAGTAGCTTAGGTTTAGTTCCTGTGAAAATAGAGTAAGAAAGTACAGAGAATTCCCAAATACTATCTCTCCCTGCTCCCTTAGTATCTCTATAGGGTTTGTTTTTGTTTTTGTTTTTTTAATACTTCAATAGATTTAGGGGCATAGGGGGCTTTTGGTTATGTGGGTGAGTTGTATTTTTTTTTTTCTCGATACAGAGTCTCACTTTATTGCCCTTGGTAAAGTGCCGTGGCATCATAGCTCACAGCAACCTTAAACTCTTGGGCTCAGGTGATTCTCTTGTCTCAGCCTCCTCAGTAGCTGGGACCACAAGCATGAGCCACCACACCTGGCCTTCACATGGATGAATTGTATAGTGGTGATGTCTGGGTTCTTCAGTGTGTGCATTGTTGAGTAGTGTACATTGTACCTAACTCTCCCCCACTTTCACCCATTCTCCCCCTTTTCCCCCTGTGCTTAATGAATGTTTAGTGGCAGAATAACTCTTAGCAAGGATTTTTTTCCTGCTCGTCTGTTCCGTTCTTCATTGTTAATAACCATAGATGTCATTAAGTGTTTCTGTCTGGAGATAAAGAAGTTATGTCTTAGAGTTACTGTCTTTTGTGGCTGTTTACATTAAAAAATTTAAGTCTGACCCTCCTTGTGGCTTTCCAAGTCATCCTGTCCTAGGGAATGGTCTGATTTTAATTAAAATAATAAACTTTATCATTATTGCTCTCCCCAATGACCTGCAGTTAAACATTTCTTTTGCAGACTGATATCAACTTGCCATATCTTACAATGGATGCTTCTGGACCCAAGCATTTGAATATGAAGTTGACACGTGCTCAATTTGAGGGGATTGTCACTGATCTAATCAGGAGGACTATTGCTCCATGCCAAAAAGCTATGCAAGATGCAGAAGTCAGCAAGAGTGACATAGGAGAAGTCATTCTTGTTGGTGGCATGACTAGGATGCCTAAGGTACAGACCCATGGTTTTCTTGGTTTGGAAAGAAAGGATTAGCACATAATGTATTCTTGGGACAAGTGGCTTGTGTTGTCTACAGACATGAATATGTGGCCCATTTTGCCAGGATAAGCTAGAAGGGGGATGAGGTTGTATCCTCAGTAAAGAGTTCTTTTCAGGGCTGGGCATACTGGCTCACATCTGTAATCTTAGCACTTTGAGAGGCTGAGGCCAGTAGATTGCGTGAGCTCAGAAGTTCAAGACCAGCCTTGCAACAGCGAGAGCCCATCTTTACTAAAATTAGAAAAACTCTCTGGTGGTCTAGTAGGTGTGTATAATTTCGGCTACTTGGAAGGCTGAGGCAAGAGGACTGCTTGAACTTAAGAGTTTGAGGTCAGCTCGGTGCCCCTAGCTCAGTGATTAGGGTGCCAGCCACATCTACCAGGGCCTGCGGGTTTGAACCCAGCCTGGGCCTGCTAAACAACAATGACAACAACAACAAAAAACAACCAGGCATTGTGGTAGGCACCTGTAGTTCCAGCTACTTCGGAGGCTGAGGCAAGAGAATCACTTAAGCCCAAGAGTTTGAGGTTGCTATGAGCTGTAATGCTATGGCACTCTACCCAGGGGAACAGTGTAAGACTGTGTCAAAAGATGTTTTTTTTTTTTTGCCTTTCAAAATTCAAGACTATAAGGCTAGGTCAGTGGCTCATGCCTATAATCTTAGCACTGTGGGAGTCTAAGGCAGGAGGAATGCTTGAGACCAGCGAGATATCTCTACAAAAAATAGAGAAATTAGGTGGTGCACACCTATAGTTCGAGCTATTCAAGGGGCTTAGGAGGATAGTTTGAGCCTAAGAATTTGTGGTTGGAGTGATGTATGATGATATTCACTGCATTCCAGCCTGGGAGACATAGTGGTCCTGAACTCAGTGTTGTAGAATTTTTAGGAATGAAACTGTTTGAGGTCAGAGATAGCTTAAAACCTGGGTACTAATCAGCTCCTAGGGAAGTCTTTTTGAGACAGAATCTCACTTGGTCACCCTTGGTAGAGTGCCAGGGCATCTTAGCTCATACAACCTCAAACTCTTGGGTTCAAGTGATCCTTTTGCCTCAGCCTCCCAAGTAGCTGGGACTATAGGCACCTGCCATAGCACCCAGCTGTTTTTTAGAGACGAGGTCTCCCTCTTGCTCAGGCTGGTCTCCAACCTGTGAGCTCACACAATCCACCCAGCTCAGTCTCCCAAGTGCTGGGATTATAGGCATGAGCCACCATGCCCAGCCTTGAACCTGGGTCTTTATAGCATTATGCCTGGGGTTTATTTTTCTCTCTTCAACAGAGATTTGTGCAATGATGCATTTTATTCATCAGCACATCATTCTGAAGCACAGATGTGTAGAAAACTAATGACTGAGCACAAAGCTGTTGAAGGTGTGACTCTTTGTTGGTGGGCTGAATAGAATTGTTTTGGGCCTGAGTTAGTGACCTTGTTATTTTCTTAATTTTTCCATTGAAATACTTGAACTTAGGAATATACATATGAAATAAACCTAAAAAAAAAAAAAGACTCAGGGCCAGGCAGATAACTATGTTAACAAATTATCGCAGATGGTGTTCAAATATTACTTTCCCTACCCCTATATAATATATGGGAGGAAAGAACATACCCTGCATTAGCAACAGTTTTGAATTGAGCTATGACACCACAGCTCTCTACCCAGGGCAACAGCTTACTTTTGTTTTTTAAGTTGGTAACATAGAAGAGGACTTAGACTACAAAATTTCTAAGTCCCTTTGCCTTGTACCCTCTGTTTGAAATTATTTGAATATAAAATATGTAAATGTTGTGAGATCATTAATAAGAACTCATCTATGAGGCCAGATGTAGGGGCTCATGCCTGTAATCCTAACATTCTGGGAGGCTGAGGTGAGTGGATTGCCTGAGCTTACAGGTTCAATACCAGCTTGAGCCAGAGCAAGACCTCATCTCCGAAAATAGCTGAGTGTTGGAGGGGGTAGTGTTGGAGTAGCTGTAGTCCCAGCTACTTGGAAGGCTGAGACAAGAGAATCAAGAGAATCACTTGACCCTAAGAGTTTGAGGTTTGCTGTGAGCTATGATACCATAGCACTCTACCAAGAGTGACATTAAAGTGAGACTCTCAAAAAAAAAAAAAAAAAAGATGATGCATTGTGGCGGGCACCTATAGTCCCAACTACCTGGGAGGCTGAGGCAAGAGGATCACTTTAGCCTGACAGTTTGAGTTACTGTGAGCTATGACACCATGGCCCTCTACTGAGGGTGACAAAGTAAAACTATCTCAAAAAAAAAAAAAGCAAGACTCATGCTTATAATCTTAGCACTCTGCTGAGACAGGTGGATTGCCTTAGCTCAGGAGTTCGAGACCACCCTGAGCTCGAGGTAAACCCTATCTCTAAAAATAGCTGGTCTTTGTGGCTGGCAGCTATAGTGCAGCTACTTGGGAGGCTGAAGCAAGAGGATCACGTTTAGCCTAAGAGTTTGAGGTTGCTCTGAGCTGTGATGCCACAGCACTCTATGTGAAGGTGACAAAGTGAGACTTTGTCTCCAAAAAAGAAAAGAATTTATCTATAAAATAGCAATTTGAATAAACATTCTTCAGTCCGAATCAACCTGTCTTGAGATTTGGCTAAGCACTTAAGGCACACGTATTCTGTTCCCAGGCAGTTGCCTTGTGTGTTGGGTGATAGGTTCTTTGTCCTTGATGCTCAGGTTCAGCAGACAGTGCAAGACCTTTTTGGCCGAGCCCCAAGTAAAGCTGTCAATCCTGATGAGGCTGTTGCTATTGGAGCTGCCATTCAGGGAGGTGTGTTGGCTGGTGATGTCACAGATGTGCTGCTCTTGGATGTCACTCCCCTGTCTTTGGGTATTGAGACTTTGGGAGGTGTCTTTACCAAGCTTATTAACAGGAACACCACTATTCCAACCAAGAAGAGCCAGGTAAGAGCTGTAACCCTCTATCTTGTCCTGTAGTTTGGGTTCTGTGAGGGGTATGATTGCAGTCAACTTTTGTAAGCTATTTCTAGAATACTGATCTGTTTTCTGGTTCAGACTAGTTGACTGTAAGTGGTGAGAATGTCATATTTGTTTTTGAAAAAGTTCGTATATGTCACCTAGCAGTGACATTGTAGGGAGGACATGAATAGTCTTTTCCTTCACAGAATTAATAATTGTGTGATGAGACTGAATTTTTTGTAGTCTTATGTTTTCAAAGATAGTAAAAAGAATATACCTGGATGTGGTGACTCACACTTGTAATCCCAGAACTTTTAGGAGGCTGAGATGGGAGGATGGCTTGAGGCCCAAGGTTCAAGCTCAGCCTAGTCTACATAGTGAGATTTTATCTCAATGAGAAATTTAAAAAGTTAGCCAGGCATGATGGTATGCACCTATAGTCTGCCAACTTGGGGGGGCTGAGGTAGGAGGATCACTTGAGCCCAGGAGTTTAAGGCTGCATTGAGCTATGATTGCACCACTATACTCCAGCTAGGGCAATAGAGCAGGATCCTCTCAAAAAGAAGAAAAGGAATTGCCTAGCCAAGACATGTAGGGGTAGTGTGTTATGGGTGAATGAATGATAGGGGTATTGATCTCTCAGTTACAAGCAGGATTATTTGAGCATGGCTTGGTTGTGGATTAGGAATTATTTCTTGAGTTTCCCAATCTTAATATTTTTTAAAAACCTATAGTTACTGCTATATTTGTGCACATCATTCTGATGAATGATGACTTCCTGTGACCGAGCACGTGATATATCTCCTGTCTCTGATCCTGATTTCTCCCAGAGTGTTTCAGCATTTTAGGTCCTTGTCTTGAAGCCTTCTGTGCCAATGCTGCATCTTTGTACAATGCATTTACTCAGTTGAAACAATATCTATTCTTTGCTCTTTGCTGTACTAATCCTACTACCATTCCCTATAAAGACATAATAAGCCTTTGTTCTGAAATAGTGTGAAGTAGGACCCTTCCAATATTAGGATATGAATTTCTTTTCCAGGCTTGTATTTTGACTACATGTATAAGGGAAGTTGTTTAATCAGATTGCCAATCCAGGAAGTTTCTTTCCTCCATAGGTGTTTTCTACAGCTGCTGATGGACAGACTCAAGTGGAGATTAAAGTATGTCAGGGTGAGAGAGAAATGGCTGGAGACAACAAACTTCTTGGACAGTTTACTTTGGTAGGTACTGTGAATTCTGAATACTGTGCTTTTCAGTCTCTTCACTGTAAAGTTAGACAATACTCTAACCCTTAATAATCCTATAAACTGCTGACATACACATAGATGCTATGTTGTCTTGAGAAGAAGGTGGACAGGATAAATTCCCATGGCTTCAGTTTTTATCTGGAAGCATTGCTTGTTCCTTGTGCCTTAATGCACTTCATGAAGAAGTTTATAAAACTGCCAGATAGAGTGTTGTGAGCCTCTAATCTCATTTACTCAGGAGGCTGAGGCAGAAGGATCACTTAAGCCCAGGAGTTTGAGGCCAGTCTAGGCAATGTAGCCAGACCTTGTCTCAAAAATGAAAAAAAGGGAAAGTTTCAAATAATTTTTCTGCCTTGTTTTGTGTAGGTAGCAAAATAATTTTTATTTTAAAAAAACGTTCGGCTCGGCGCCTGTGGCTCAAGCGGCTAAGGCGCCAGCCACATACACCTAAGGTGGCGGGTTCGAATCCCCAGCCCGGACCCGCCAAACAACAATGACGGCTGCAACCAAAAAATAGCTGGGCGTTGTGGCGGGCGCCTGTAGTCCCAGCTACTTGGGAGGCGGAGGCAGGAGACTCGCTTGAGCCCAGAAGTTGGAGGTTGCTGTGAGCTGTGATGCCATGGCACTCTACCCAGGGGGACAGCTTGAGGCTCTGTCTCAAAAAAAAAAAAAAAAACGTTCAAGGCTCTATGCCTGTGGCTCAGGTGGCTATGGTGCCAGCCACATACACCTAAGGTGGTGGGTTCAAATCCAGCCCAGGCCCGCCAAAACAACAATGACGGCTGCAACCAAAAAATAGGCAGGCATTGTGGCAGGCGTCTGTGGTCCCAGCTACTTAGAAGGCTGAGGCAGGAGACTCGCTTGAGCCCCAGGAGTTGGAGGTTGCTGTGAGCTGTGATGCCATGGGACTCTACCCAGTGGGATAGATTGAGGCTCTGTCTCAAAAAAAAAAAAAAAAAGTTCAAGAGCCAGAAAAATGTTTAGAAACAAGGCTAACTCAGAAATTCCTGATTTCTCTTGATTATTCATTTAAAAGACATACTGTCTAATCAAAATTGAAGTTTCTTGTTAGCACTGCTTATTGGTTCTTGATGAAATGAATAGTCAAGATATTGCTCTCATTCACTGTCCCTAGGTATGTATAGTCATTATGGCTATTTGATATGGATACTTTCACTGGTATAGCCTTGTTGATTTCAACGAAACTAATACCCTTACTTAAAAGTAATGTTTTTGTAACATTAAGTAAAGGTACCAGTTGTCCCTCCCGGGAACCAGGTGACTTCAACAGAAGATCATATAGCTTTGGAAATTACAGCACCGAACCTCTTTGTAAAAGGAGCTTACTCTTTTTACTTATTTTAGATTGGAATTCCTCCGGCCCCTCGTGGAGTCCCTCAGATTGAAGTTACATTTGACATTGATGCCAATGGGATTGTACACGTTTCTGCCAAAGATAAGGGCACAGGACGTGAGCAGCAGAGTAAGTAAGGCACTAGCTGTGGTGGCTTGCTTGTGCCTGTAATGCTAGCACTCTGGGAGGCCAAGGTGGGAGGATTGCTTGAGCTCAGGAGTTCTAGACAGCCTGAGCAAGAGCCCCCATCTCTACAAAAAATAGAATCCAGGTGTTGTGACAGGTGCCTATAGTCCCAACTACTGGGGAGACTGGTGCAGGAGGATTGCTTGAACCCAGGAGTTTGATGTTGCTATGAGGTAGGCTGATACCGTGGCACTGTTGCCTGGGGCAAGAGTGAGACCATCTCAAAAGTGTGGTGAGGGACCTCTGCCGGGAAAATAGACCCTCTTGTGCATATCTCCCCCTCTACCCCCAGTCTCAGAGTAGGGATGATGAGTTTTCTTTGCCCTTTGCTCCTCAGTTATCAGATTGCTTTTACAAGTATAATGTTTATTATCAAGAAAACAGGTAAGAACTGAGCCTCTGGATTGCTACCCATAGGTCGGTAGGCAGGCCATTTCATCTTGCTTATTTTAGGATACCAGGTTTTCTGCTTCATAATTTGCATCAAGCTTGGCTACTAAAAGAGTATTCTTTTCTTTCTTTTTTTTGGGTAGAGACAGAGTCTCATTTTATCGCCCTCAGTAGAGTACCTCGGCGTCCCACTGCTCACAGCAACCTCCAACTCCTGGGCTTAGGCAATTCTCTTGCCTCAGCCTCCCAAGTAGCTAGGACTACAGGCGCCCACTACAACGCCCAGCTATTTTTTTGTTGCAGTTCAGCCAGGGCTGAGTTTGAACCTGCCACCCTTGGTATATGGGGCCGGTGCCCTACCCACTGAGCCACAGGTGCCGCCTAAGCCAAGAGTATTTTTTTTTTTTGAGACAGAGCCT